AATCATGAAAGCTGAGACTTTTATTGTGGCACTTGTACTTCTTCAGATACTAATATTTCCTACAGTCCCTTTAGCCCCGTGTCCTTTGCACATAATGTTACTTTTCTTTGGAATGCTTTTCTCCTTGTTTGCATGTTATCTGTTTCTCATTCATTGGATCTTGTATTAGTTACCTGTTACTACATAACAAGTTTCCTTCAAACAAATATTTATTATCTTGCAGTGAATGAAGATGCATGTGTGAGAGAGTGCACATGAGGACAGGAACCTTACTCTTTATAACCTGATCTCAGCAGGGACATCCCATCACTTCTGCTGTATTCTGTTTGTTAGAGATTCCTTAGTAGGTTTAGCCCACACTTAAGAGGAGTGGGTTTTGGCCGGGCGCGGTGGCTCACGCCTGTAATCCTAGCACTCTGGGAGGCCGAAGTGGGCGGATTGCTCAAGGTCAGGAGTTCGAAACCAACCTGAGCAAGAGCGAGACCCCCTCTCTACTATAAATAGAAAGAAATTAATTGGCCAACTAATATATATAGAACAAATTAGCCGGGCATGGTGGCACATGCCTGTAGTCCCAGCTACTTGGGAGGCTGAGGTAGCAGGATTGCTTGAGCCCAGGAGATTGAGGTTGCTGTGAGCTAGGCTGACGCCACGGCACTCACTCTAGCCTGGGGAACAAAGTGGGGACTCTTTCTCAAAAAAAAAGAGGAGTGGGTTTTACAAAGGCATGAACATTGGGAGCCATCTGAGAGGCTGCCTACAACAGATCTCAATACTGAGATAAGTAGCTCAGGATACACTTTCCATATTTTTCCTTTATTGCTATTGCAATGTCACATGCTTGTCTAATCATTTGATTAGTTGTCTATTGGCCCCATTAGATTGAAAGCTCCTTAATGAATAAACATTTATTGTCTACCTATTGTAATTGAGTAAATGAATATTAATACAGCTTCCAGCCTCCCTCCATCTGTCCAAAAGCTTTAGTATACCTGATAGGTGATCACTCAGGTGCCATTTGAATGATAATTATCAGTAACTGATAATTATCTTAGAATGCAAAACATTTCTCAGAAAAGAAAGAATTTCCTTTACTTGTAAAATTTATCTTAAAATTAATGCATTAGTCTTGAGCCTCTGATTCATGTTTGCCATTTAGAAATAACAGCATTTGGGGAAAAATTGGTGATGCTTTTCATTATACCTGAAGGATGATACTACTTTTTAATTATATATCAGAAATAAAATTGTAACTTAGGCTCTGTCCTCCAAAAGTTATAAAGTTCATGAACTTTCTGCCAGGCTATTATGGATTTCCCCTAGTCCCCAGATGATACTGTGAAAACCGCTGTGTTGGTGGTAGAAATATAATTAAACCATTTAGATGACAATTCATTACATTTTCAGAACTTCTGAAAAAAGAGGCAATTTAATTCCGCAGCTTGTTACTTGGGTCCATTCATAACTCTAAAATCTATTGGGAAATAATACTTTTCTGTCGAACCTACATCTACAATATGAAGTTTATAAAACATAATACAAACATTCACTAACTAAAATGTTAAGGTTAATATTTTAAGCTTTCTTGAGCCAGAGATTCATAGTAAAAGTTTCCATACTGTACTGACTGTACCAGACCACCGATCAGAAAAAAGTCACGCGCTTAGTGTAGCTAAATAAAGGTTACTCTGACAATGTATTATAATTTGAATTTCTAGATCTTTGCATGATTAAGATCTCAGTCACAATGTTGCATTCATTTTAAGTGAAACCTTGAATCTTTAGGAGAAATGTATTGCTTAATTATAACAGTTAGTACTGCTTAATACTCCAGTTTGTAATGCGCTTTGTATACCTTTCATGAGTTTTTCCTTATTTGTTGAGTAAGTAAGAACTATAGTCCGTGTTTTGCAGAGGGGAAAATGAGAGCATATAAATTCATTGTCTAAAACGATTCAGGAAAGAAAAAACAAGGGAAGAAGTAAAACTCATATCCCTCATATTTTCTAGTTGTTAGAAATGGCTTAATGCTTACTCCATGCATAATCCATAATGGTTCAGCTCTATATTTGTTGTAATAACTTTGGAGAGTTATTAAAATCTGGAAGAAAACGGAATTTTGAAGTTTGAAAGCTTGAAACACCAAATGAAGAATGAAATAGTTTTATTTGGTTTTCCTCATGTAAAATGTCAGTATATTTTCATAGATTTCAATGTATACTTATTGTGTGTTCTATTTTTTAGAAGTACTATAGTAAATTCATTCAATTTTAAATAACAGTAAAGATATTAAGTTGTAAAGATCATAATAAGCAATAAAGATAAAATCTAGTTAATTCAGCACTGGTGTAGGTGCCCCAAGTCCTGTAAAGAAATTTCAATAGAAATGTCAAAATAAAACTATTGTACACAATTCTTTTTTGTAGCTATATACTTATTAAATCATAGCCACACTTTTTCAGTGTACAGTTTTGCCCCAAGTTAAGGGTTTTAGTTTGAAGTTCGTTTATCAGATTCCTCACTGCTTTGTTTATATTCCTCCAAAAGATCTGCAAATGTATAAAAGGGTAGAAAATCTTAACTTTTTTGTTTTTCATCTCTATACATTATAAATGATAAACGAATATACAGAACAATGTTAAATATTTAAGCATGGCATAATCCGTGCTTTCTTTTGGTTAAGAAAAGTTACTGAATTAGTTTTTATTGGGGGGGATAAAATTTCAGAAATGTCTATCTCTACATTTTTTTTAGAAAGTAGAGCACTCAAAGCATAGCATTTTACAATAGACAAAAATTGGTTATCATCACAAGAAAATCATATGTTGTTTCTGAGAATCTTTTCTGTCCTGTCTGGAGGAAGCCTCTATGGAGCATGGGTTGCACAGTCATGCCTCTGCAATGTCTGCTGCGTGGGTGGATAGATGCTTGCTCAGGCGTGTGACTATTATGATTTGGGAAAGGAAACTTCTGGTGCTTGAAGTGAGTAAGAAGTTTCGCTAGTAGTAAAATCACAAAACATTCTTCTACTTATGATTTTGACTTAGATGAAAATGTTTTTTTTTTTTAAACATATTTTCAATGTCAAGAGTTTTTGTTTGTATTTTGTTTTGTATTTATTTGCATGGATGCATGTTCTAATGTTATGTGTATTAAAACTTAACATTTCTTCTATAATTTTAATTACTCCCTTTCAACTTTATTGAGGGATAATTTATGTACAATGAACTGTATCCATTTAAAATATGCAATTTGATGAGTTTTGACAGTTGTATACACCTGTGAATCATTATGATAAATGAGATACAAAATATTGTCACCATTTCCAAAATATTCTTCATGTATCTTTGTAGTCCATCCCTGCCTTCACCCCCACCTGCAGGCAACCACTGATCTGCTTTTTGTCATCAGAGATTACTTAGTGTTTAGAGATTACTTAGTGTTTTATATTAGTAGCAGTATTTTGCGTAGTATTTAGTATGCATTCTTTTGTGCTTGTCTTGTTTCTCTTAATGGAATGATTCTGAGATTCATCAATATTGTGTTTTTCTTTTTGTCTTTGAGTAGTATTCCATTGTATGGATAGTTTATTCACTTAATGGTTGGTTGACATTGGGGTCATTTCCTGTTTTTGGCAATTGTGTATAAATATTTGCAAATAAGGCCAGTATGAACATTCAGTCATGCACAAGTATTGTGTGGACATATGTTTTCCTTTCTCTTACACAAATACCATTGGAATGACCAGGTTATAAGGTGGGCACATATTTGAATTTTAGAAAAACTGCAAGCAATTTTCCAGTGTTGTTATAGTATTTTATATTCCCCCTAGTAATGTATGAGAATTCTTATTGTCCACATTCTTACCAGTACTTATTATCAGTCTTTTTAATTTTAGTCATACTTATAGTTGTATAATCATTAGCTCACTGTGTTTTAAATCTGCATTTAATTTATGGTTACTAATATGGAACATCTTTCCATGTATCTATTGGCCATTAGAATATCTTTTTTTTTTTTTCCTTAGTGAGGTTACCCTCTTACCCAAGCACTTCTCCAGGGGCCTGAATACCACCCCCACCACCCAGTCACAGCGACTGCATACACTTACCATTGGGGTGCTGTCATTGGTAGAGACTGTGGTAAAGTTGTTCTGAGGGCTGGAATGCCTGATGGGTCCTTCTTCGGGTTACAGTGGCAGCAGTGGTGGACTAAGCATGTCTATCCTTGTGTCCTGAGACAGTGTACACTGGCACCTGTATTGGTGGTCCTAGGTGGATCGATTCTTGGGTCCCTATATGGCTTTTTCAGATGCTGGTTATAGTATTGGTGTACTGGATGGGATGGATGAGTGAGTTCTTAACCTCCTGGGCAAATCTTAGCTTTTATTTGTCATCTTGGCCCATTCTTGGGGAGGGGGATGATGAGCGCCAGGCACCTATAGTAAGCTATGTTTCTGACAATGCCTTCAACTTTATATTTCCCTTTTTACTCTTAAAGGCAGGAAAAATGAGAAAGGAAGAGGGATGGATGAACTCTTCTCTGTTCTGCTTCTAAGATTCTTTAGAAAGGGCTCTGCTTTGTCTATCTGGGTGAGGTGCCCACCATTGGACCAAGCAATGTTAATTAGTGGGTGGCATCTGTAGAAAGGAGCATAACTGGACCAACTCATGTGAGATGCCCACACTGGACCACTCCCCTGGTTGGGGAAGGAGGAAGAGTTGGAGACAGGATTGCCTTGTAAAAAAAATAGTTGACAGAATGAGGTGTCTCATCAATGGGAAGTCATCAATTGATAACTTATAAATGCAATTTTCAAAATGTTAACATGATTTTTTCCTCTAATGATGGTATCACCTGGAACTTTTATTTTCCATGAGTTTTGCCTAATTTTTTAACTGATTGTATATTCTATTGACTAAGACTATGTATAGAGATAGTGGCTTCCATTCTGAGTACATAATATTGGTTTAATTTATCTTTCTCTATATATTTTCTAGCTTCAAGTAGTTCAAATGGGGATGGAAAGCAGATAGAACAGAACTCTTCAATGCCTCTCTCAGAAGGTAAAATACTTCCTAATATAGTGGCTGGCACTGAGGTGATAAACAGTTGAACTTTGTTAGAAACATTAGCTGATGTCCTGGCTGGGGGCCTGCCTTGTGACTACCTGAAGAATATGGTGATCTGAGTGCTGTGGGATAAACAACTCTCTAATTGTTTGCAAACAAGTCATGCTCTCACTTGTCTCTGAACCTTTGCCAAATTGGAGTGGTGGAAAGAGCATGGATTTAACTGCCTCTCAGATCTGTGTCTAAGTCCTACCTCTTTCTTCCTTTATTAGATTGTTGCAAAAGTAATTGCAGTTTTTGATTGTTGAAATTTGCATTTTACTATTGGAATACATTCTTAAATAAATGTTATGTTATACATCATTTTAATGTGCATTTCTTGTTTTATGTTTTTTTTTTTTTGCTAATGACGTATTATTTGCTTTTTATTTTATATGTATTTTAGACTATGGAAATGATGTTAGACAAAAAGCAAATTCAAATGATATTCTTATTTGAGTTTAAAATGGTGACATGAGGTCAGGCTTGTAAAACAGCGGAGACAACTCACATCATCAACAATGCATTTGGCCCAGGAACTGCTAAGGAATGTACAGTGCAGTGGTGGTTCAAGAAGTTTTGCAAAGCAGAGGAGAGCCTTGAAGATGAGGAGTGCAGTGGCCGGCCATTGGAAGCTGACAACGGCCAATTAAGAGCAATCATCAAAGCTGATCCTCTTACAACACCATGAGAAGTTGCCAAAGGACTCAAGGTCCACCATTCTATGGTCGTTTAGCATTTGGAGCAAATTGGAAAGGTAAAAAAGCAGCTCAATAAGTAGGTGCCTCATGAGCTGACTGCAAATAAAAAAAATCGTCATTTTAAAGTGTCATCTCTTCTTGTACACAGCAACGAACCATTTCTCAATGGAATTGTGACGTGCGACAAAAAGTGGATTTTATACGACAACCAGGTACAGCCAGCTCAGTGGTTGGATGGAGAAGAGGCTCCAAAGTGTTTCCCAAAGCCAAACTTGCACCAAAAAAAGTTCCTGGTCACTGTTTGGTGGTCTGCTGTTGGTCTGATCCACTATGCTTTCTGAATCCGGGTGAAACCATGACATCTGACAAGTATGCTCGGCAACATAGATGAGAAGCACCGAAAACCGCAATGCCTGCAGCTGGCATTGGTCAACAGAAAGGGCCCAATTCTTCTCCACAACAGTGTCCGACTGCATGTTACACAACCAACACTTCAAAAGTTGAACAAGTTGGGATGCGAAGTTTTGCCTCATCTGCCACACTCACCTGACCTCTTGCCAACTGACTACCACTTGTTCAAGCATTTTGACAACTTTTTCCAGGGAAAACGCTTCCGCAACCAGCAGGATGCAGAAAATGCTTTCCAAGAGTTTGACAAATCCTGAACCAGGGATTTTTATGCTACAGGAATAAACAAATTTATTTCTCGTTGGCAAAAACGTATTGTTGTGATGGTTACTATTTTGATTAATAAGATGTGTTTGAGCCCAGTTATAATGATTTAAAATTCATGGTATGAAACTGCAATTACTTTTGCACCAAACTAAATAGATATGTGATCATTATTTGACTATGAAATGCAGGGCTTGAGTATCACGGGAGTCAGGTGACAGAAAAACAGGAGAGAAGAGATACAAACTGAAGAGTTTAGCAAAAACATGCTTCATTCATGTAAAGTTTTTCCCGCCATAGCTGGTCTGCTCATGTCATAGGAATGCCTTCGCTGACACTCACCTCTGCTGCAGATGAGTTGCGATAGATACTTTGGTCTGCTAATCCCCTCTCAGTAGACCCCTATCAGTCATGGACACATTGTGTATGTAGGCTTATGGGAAATGTGAGGTTCTATGTTAGAACATGCTTGTAGGATGCAGGGCTTAATTTTTACCTTGAAAGATGCCCAAAGAGGTCAGCTTCTATATTTACTTCTGATAATTGAACATACAAATGCAAATTCTGCAACCAAAGTTCCCAGCTAAACTATCTGAGATCTATGTGTGACTAAAGAAGAAGGAAGGGAAACTCATCCAAAGGCTATGTTTGATAATGTCATGAATTGGTAACAGAATCTTTTTATGGGAAATGTCCAAAGGAAAACAAGTCTTGTTTTGTTTTTCAATTATGTACTAAATTACTTTTTCACTAGAAATATATATTTCTAAGCATCGCATCATTGAACATCATCATTTTTCATTTTTGTGTGATGGCTTACCTGGTAAAATTATAGATTTTTTAAAGATCTGTGGAGATCACTGACTATGTGATTTTTTAAATAAAAAACAAACTCTAAAATGTCCAGGGAGCTCCACCTGAATGCCGTATTATTTACTTTTCATAAAAGAACCATATACTTTCCACATTTATGTTTGTCTGAAAAAGTAGCCATAAAGACATTTAGTTTTGATGTTACTGATATTTTTGTGCTTTTCACATTTAGAAGGAGACAACCACATCACTATTATTCCATGTTCTTTCCTGAAGTGCATGAATTGTATGATAAATATAATAGTCTCTTCCACCAAAAGATTACATTTAGAACATTGTCTTTGTTCTTTAAAAGTCTTTTCTTATTTTGTTGTTTCTAGATATTAAAACTTCTAAATTAATTTCAAAATACTTTATGATATATATTGTTTTGCTAATAATGCATGATACAGGAGAAAATTTGTTAATCTCTGAATTGGGTATAATATACTATTTATATTTTGTGAATGTTAATTTGTTATGTAAGTGTAAAATTTGTGGAATGTGATCACCAGCCAAGTTAGTATCTAGTACAACTTCATGTAATATGCTGTGGACAAACTTAACACATGGAGTTCTTTACCAAGGTTTTCTTTTATCGTTCTCCTTTTGTGTGTGTGTGTGTCCAGTTAACACTTCACTGTCTGCAGTGATAGACACCAGCGCTGTGCTCCACTGCCCTCGTACATTGACAGAAGTGGTGCTAGCAAGATGGGAAATAATCCTCAGGGACAAGCCTTCCTGCACAAAAGCCTACAGGAGCGACACAAATGAGACCAAGGATACCAACTGTACTGATGACAGAATAACCTGGGCCTCCAGCCCCAGTCAGAATCCTGACCTTCACATTGCTCCAGTGGCCATCACTCATGATGGGAATTACAGGTGTACGACGGCGACACCTGATGGGAATTTCAATCATGAGTATCACCTCCAAGTGTTAGGTAAGGAACGTCATATCTTATGGTATTTCATGCCACCAGGTTTGTGACTGAAACGAATGTCTCTGTAAATTCCATATCCCTTATGTGAAGACTGAAGCATGTTTCCCTTGCATCTCTGCAGTTGCCCCGGAAGCGAGCCTGTTTCTCAGCAGGAATAGAACTGCGATGTGCAGGGCAGTAGCGGGGAAGCCAGCTGCACACATCTCCTGGACCCCAGAGGGGGGTGCTTGTGTCACGGAGCAAGAACGCTGGGGCAATGGCACGGTGACTGTCAAGAGTACATGCCACTGGGAGGGCCCCGATGTGACTACTGTGACCTGCTCTGTCTCCCATCTGACTGGCAACAGGAGTCTGTTCATAGAGCTGCTTCCTGGTTAGTAAATCTCCTAGTTTTTTCTTTGAGTTTTTTCATTCTTTCTTAGCAGTTAGAAGGAAAACAGAATGTGCAGAGAAATTTTGTTCAAGGATGCTTTCTCTAGCCTCCACTTTATCTGTCTTTTGCACAAATACAAAGATATGTTTAAAAGGAAAATACAGCAATTTGTTGTAAAAAGCCTTATTTTAGAATGTGGTTTATTTTTCCTTTTAATATTCACCTTTATACTGGCAGTTAATTGGCATGAAAACATACTTTTAAAAGAATACTTAGGGTTAATTGAAAGATAAAGTGTAATTTGAAACAAATACTTCAGGTTTTATCAGAAGGATAAAGTCACTCATACATTGCCTTCATGAATTTTTAGTCTGGTAGATTTTTCTCCTCCAGGCTCCTTCTTGTGGAATTTCTTAACTTATAATAACATCTATGATTCAGTTGATCACTTTTTGCATTCTTCATTCTCTACCCTTATCCTACTTTCATTTTATTGATATCTTTAAAAAAATTAAATACTAATTTATTTAACATATATGTAGTTTAAAGTCAAATTGTTTTATTGGGCTCAATGAAAATCATCAGCTCTCCCCTGCCTTTTCCACCCTACTACTCTCTATTCATTCTACTCCCTAGAGGCAGCTACTGTGCAACTTAATCAGCATTTTGTCTAGTAATTAATTCTTTTTTAAAACAACATGGTCATGTTAGTATTTCTTACTGTGTCATATTTAGACATTATGTACCCACTTCTTCTTATGGTAGATGTGGATTTACAAATGCCATGTTCCTTAAACTCATTGTTTTATATACAGTGACATAGCAATTATTTATTAAATTAAATAGCCAATGTTCACATTAATTTGAATATGTAAATATTATTGTTTCCTTAAAAATGTATGTGCCTTTTGTGAATTGTCACCAAGCTTACTCAGAAAGCTGGTGAAGCCCTTACTAATATTTTCCACATGGTCAGGTTTATTGTGTAATGAGTCACTTCCATTTTTTTCCTGAAGTCATCCCTTTTAGAGTTTTTGGATGCTCTGGGTCTACTCTGTCCTGGTTGGTCTCTAGACATGCTGAGCAGCGATTGTCCTGGACGTTCTTTGTGCCTCGATCCTCTGCATGGTTCTGTGCCTGTTTAATCTGAGTTTCTTCTGCCTTCTAGACATTTGTGTGTACAACCTCTTTCTTTCATAAAAGAGACTGTTCTTAAGTCTCTGTTAATCCTTGGCTAATGGATTCTTGTCAAAGTGAGCACTGAGGAGCTGATTGGAAGCTTTACTGGCTAATGTCGTGGCTTGTGAACTAGTTAGCTTCAGTACAGTGAAAAACAGGTACATGATTGTTTTATTTAAATTGGGGATTTGTTATGTATCTGAAGGCCTTTTCTCTAGGGCTGTTCAGGGTCTGCAGAAAATAACTCACCAGTCCCTTGCCTTGGAGAGATAAGCCTGACTATCAATGTGCTGGGAGAGGGGAGTATGTGTGCATGTGAGCATCCCACTGTTGAGAACTCAGATTTTCCTTTAATACCTCTCTTCAGTCTGGCACTTCACCCGCACCAGCCGTGATGTCTGGGTGCTTGGCTCTGGAGTCTCTCCAGTTCATCTTCTCTAGGTCAAGCTCCCTTTCTTCTGCCAGTTGGGAAGAGTGTGCTGCACAGAGTGGGGCAGGCACTTGGCAACCTGCCTGTTCTCAAGACAGACTTTCTAAGAAGCTCCTGACCTTTAGCCCCTCACTTGCTCCCTACCTTACACACCCCTTTGTCTATATTTGATTCTTCCTACTCTAGAGTCTTCTGGAGTTTTCTTGCACTGAAACTTTGACTTATTTATTCCACCTTGTAAATCATTTGCCATTTTCATTCATTTTTCAGTTCAGAACAGGTTGAAATCCTTGATCTTTTCTTATCTTCATCCCTGTTATCTTTGTCTTTGCAGGTCTACCCTTAAGAAACTTCTTTACTAACACTTTAGTAAGTTCCAAGAAGGGAGAACAGGAAACCCATGTATTGAAACAACCATTTTCCAATATCCATTTTTTTTTTTTTTTTAGACAGAGTCTCACTCTCTTGCCTGGGCCAGAGTGCCGTGGCGTCAGTCTGGCTCACAGCAACTTCAAACTCCTGGGCTCAAGCGAGTCTCTTACCTCAGCCTCCCGGGTAGCTGGAACTACAGGCACGCACCACCATGCCTGGCTAATTTTTTCTGTTTTTAGTTGTTTGGCTAATTTCTTTCTATTATGGTAGAGACAGGGTCTGGCTCTTGCTTAGGCTGGTCTGGAACTTCTGACCTCTAGCAATCCCCCCAGAGTGCTAGGATTACAGGTGTGAGCCACTATACTCGGCCCAATATCCATTTTTAAAGTGATATTTATTTCTTTAAAAAGTTTAGCTATATTTACTGATAGTTACTAATAATTGTTCCTTCGTTATGTATGAAATCCCACCATCCAGTGTTACGATATGGTGTCATATTTAGAATCTATTACTTGAGGCGGTTTTCTTGTCCCAACTTCAATGTAGGGCAGGATCTGTCTTACTTGAATGATGGATCTACATACTCCGGTAGTACCCCTCCAGGAAGAGAGTGCATTAGTTTGAGTTTCCAAAAGTGTTGCTGTTTTTAACAGTAAAGCCAAACTTTATTTTTCCAATAAAATACTGAGCAAGCCAATATTTAAAAACATTCACCATGCATGGAAGATGGAAAGACCAGGTGCCAGCTTGCTCAGCCTGTACCTCACCTCCTTCTCCTGCCCTTGAGCCACATGCACAGAACACCAGGCGCAAGTTTTAAAGCCCTGCTCTCAGAGCTGGCAATGCCTTTGTTGACTCGTGTGTTTGTCAAATAGGGATTTATACTGCTGCCAGCAGCTAATAAACAAAGTTTCTGCCATCGATTCATTTTCTTTTCAATGCCCTGGCAGAAAGCTGACTTCAGGATTAGGGGTATTTTTCCAACTACCTTCCTTAAATTACACATTTATTTCTGAATGTTGGAGGTGAGACACACTCTGTTCTTGCTGTAACAAGGAGATCTAAATTTCACATCTCTCCCACAGGAATTCACCATTCCTGAATCCTTGAAACAACAAAATCCTGACATAAGGAGTGTTCCTATCTCTCTGCATCCACACCAACATTTATTTTCGGGGGACTTTTTTATAAAGACCATTCTCACTGGGGTTAAGTGATATCTCATTGTAGTTTCGATTTGCATTTCCCTGATGATTAGAGATGTTGAGTATTTTTTCATATTTTTGTTGGCCATTATTCTGTCTTCTTTTGAGAAGTTTTGTTCATGTCCTTTGCCCATTTTTGATAGGGTTGTTTGATTTCTTCTCGCTGATTTTCCTGAGTTCTAAATAGATTCTAGTTATCAGCCCTTTATCAGATGTGTAGCTCGGGAAAATTTTTTCCTATTCTGTGGGTTGTCTGTTTGCTCTCTTGACAGTTTCTTTGGCTGTGCAGAAGCTTTATAATTTGATCGGGTTCCACTTATTTCTTTTTGTTGCTGCTGTGATTGCCTTTGGGGTCTTCATAAATTCTTTGCCTAGACCAATGTCTAGAAGAGTATTTCCAACATTTTCCTTTAGAATTCTAATAGTTTCACACCTAAGGTTCAAGTCAGTTACCCAGCGTGAGTTGATTTTTGTGAGAGGTGAAAGGTATGGGTCCTGTTTCAGTCTTCCACATGTGGCTATCCAGTTTTCCCTGCACCATTTATTGAATAAGGATGCTTTTCCCCAGTGTATGTTTTTGTCTGCTTTGTCAAAGATTAGGATGGTTTTATATCTGGGTTCTCTGTTCTGTTCCACTGGTCAGTGTCCCTGTTCTTGTGCTAGTCCCAAGCTGTTTTAATTACTATAGCCTTGTAGTACAGTTTGAAATTTGGTAGATTGATACCTCGTATTTTGTTTTTATTGCCTAGGATTGATTTTGCTATACGGGGTCTTCTCTGGTTCCACACGAAGCATAAAGCTATTTTTTCTATATCTGTGAAAAATGAGGATGGTATTTTAATAGGGATTGCATTGACTCCGTAGGTCACTTTGGGTAGTATAGACATTTTAACAATGTTGATTCTACCGACCCATGAGCATGGTATATTCTTCCACCTGTTTACATCCTCTGCTAATCCCTTCTTTAGTGTTTCATAATTCTCCCTGTAGAGGTCTTTTAACTCTTTAGTTCAATATATTCCTAGGTGCTTTATTTTCTTTGTTGCTATTTTGAAGGGCATTGAGTCTTTGATTTGGTTCTCACTTGTACTGTTGTTGGCATATATGAATGCCTCTGATTTCTGTATATTGATTTTGTATTCTGAGACTTTACCAAATTCATTTATCAGTTCAAGGAGTCTCTTAGTTGAATCCTTGGGGTTTTCTAGGTATAATATCATGTCATCAGCAAAGAGTGAGAGTTTGATCTCTTCTGCTTCCATTTGGATGCCCTTAATTCCACTTTCTTGTCTGATTGCTGTAAGGAGGACTTCCAGCACTATGTTGAATAGAAGTGGAGATAGTGGGCATCCTTGTCTTGTTCCAGTTCTAAGTGGGAATGCTTTCAATTTTTACCCATTCAGTGTGTTATTGGCTGTGAGTTTTTCATATATGGCTTGTATCATTTTTAGGTAAGCCCCGTCTATGCCTATTTTGTTGAGCATTCTCATCATAAAAGGGTGTTGAATTTTGTGAAATGCTTTTTCCGCTTCTATTGAGAGGATCATACGGTCTTTGTTTTTGCTTCTGTTTATACGGTGAATTATGTTTATAGATTTGTGTATGTTGAACCATTCCTGCATTCCTGGGATGAAGCCCACTTGGTTGTGATGAATTATTTTCTTGACAAGCACCTGGATTCGATTGGCTAGGATTTTGTTGAGAATTTTTACATCTATATTCATAAGGGATATTGGTCTGTAGTTTTCTTTTTTTGTTACATCCTTTCCTGGTTTGGTATCAGGCTTATGTTCGCTTCATAAAATGTATTGGAAAAGATTCCATTCTTCTTGATGTTGTGGAATAATTTTTGCAGGATAGGCACCAGTTCTTCTTTGTAGGTGTGGTAAGATTCGAGTGTGAAACCATCTGGTCCAGGACTTTTCTTTTTAGGAAGGTTTTCTATTGCTGTTTCAATTTCAGTACTTGATATTGGTCTGTTCAGGAATTCTATTTCTTCCTGGTTGAGCCTAGGGAGGCTGTGTGTTTCTAAGAAATTGTCCATTTCCTCCACATTTTCCAGTTTGTGTGCATAGAGGTTTGTGTAGTATTCATGAATTATACCTTGTATCTCTGTGGCATCTGTTGTAATTTCTCCTTTATTGTTCCTGATGGAGCTTATTAGAGATTTTTTCTTTTCTGCTTTTTGTTAGTCTAGCCAATGGTGTGTCAATTTTGTTTATTTTTTCCAAGAACCAACTTTTTGTTTTATTTATATTCTGTATAGTTTCCCTGTTGCCAATTTCATTTAGTTCTGATTTGATCTTAATGATTTTACTTCTTCTGCTGGGTTTGGGGTCGGTCTGTTCTTCTTATTTCCAGCTCTTTGAGATGATTCATTAGGTTGTCTATTTGTGATCTTTTCGACTTTTGGATATAGCCATTTGTGGAAATAAACTTTCCTCTCAGGGCTCCTTTAGCTGTGTCCCACAGGTTTTGGTAACTTGTCTCTCCTTTGTCATGTAGTTAAAAGAATCTTTTGATTTCCATCTTGATTTCCTCATTTATGAAGTGATCATTCAGCAGAAGGTCATTTAGTTTCCATGACTTAGTGTAGAAATGAGAACTTGTGTTAGGATTGATTTCTACATTTATTCCATCTTGGTCTGAAAAGATACATGATATGATTTCTATTTTTTTTAAATTGTTTGAGACATGCTTTGTGTTCTAGGATATGGTCAATTTTAGAGAATGACCCATGAGCTGATGAAAAGAATGTATATTCAGTGGTTTTGGGGTAGAATGTCCTGTAAATGCCAGTCAGGCCCATTTGTTCTAGAGTTCTGTTTAAGTCCATTATTTCTTTATTGATTTTCTGTTTGGAGGCTCTGTCCCGTGCTGTCTGTGGGGTGTTAAAATCTCCGACTATGGTGTTGTTTATCTATTTGTTTAGATCAAGTAGAGTTTGCTTTATGAATCTGGGTGCAACTAGGTTGGGTACATATTTATTTAGAACTGTTATGTCTTCTTATTGAACTCTGCCCTTCACCATTATATAGTGATCTTATTTGTCTTTTATTACTTTTGTTGATTTAAAAACTAAGTTATCTGTAATCAGCACCACCACGCCAGCTTTCTTTTGGCTTCCATGTGCTTGAAATATTGCTCTCCACCCCTTTACCTTTAGTCTAACTGCATCCTTGCAGGTTAGATGTGTTTCCTGAAGGCAGCAGGTATTTGGCTTGCATTTTTTTATCCATTCTGCCAGCCTATGTCTCTTGAGTGGGGAGTTCAAGCCATTCACATTTATTGAGATAACTGATAGGTGGGGCAGATTTTTGTTCATTATGTTGGGTTGAACTTAGTTGCTTTGTTTTCTCTCTTGAGCCATTGTGGTGTCTGGGCTTTGATCTTTAGCTTTTGAGTAGATTCGTGAGTGTTTATTCGTGAGTGTTTATTGTGCTGATCCGTGGGTAACACTGTTTTAAGTACTTCTTGAAAGGTTGTCCTTGTCTTGGTGAATTCCTTCAGTCTTTGCTTATGTGAGAATGTCTTGATTTCTCCTTCATATACAAAACTTAGTTTTGCAGGGAATAAGATTCTAGGCTGGGTATTATTCTGTTTCAGAAGAGTTAGAATGGGGTCCCAGTCTCTCCTTGCTTGTAGAGTTTCAGTACAGAAGTCTGGCGTTATTTGGATTGGCTTTCCTTTGTATGTTACTTGCTTCTTTAGCCTTACAGCTCTTAGAAGGGCCTCTTTAGTTGATATTTTGGTCAGTCTGATCTGCATATTGTGATGTCTTCCTGTTTGCATTGAATATCCCAGGGGTCTTTTGAGCTTCTTGAACTTGTATCTGGAGATTTTTAGCACGGCTTGGGAAATTTTCCTCTATTATATCTTCAAATAGCGTGTCCAACCCTTGAGTGTTTTCTTCTTTCCCTTCTGGTAACCCTATGACCCTCACATTAGGTTTCTTTACATAATCCCACATCTCTTGTATTCTTTGCTCATTTTTTTTTGTTTCTATGGTCTATCTCTGTGACTGATTTATTTAATTGGAAGGTGTTATCTTCAATCTCTGAGATTCTTTCTTCTGTTTGATCTACCCTGTTCTTGAGGCTTTCTGTGGTGTTTTGTACTTCCCTGAATCGATTCTTCATTTCTAGGAGTTCAGTTAGATTTTTCTTCATTGTTTCAATATCTTTAGTGAAGTTTTGTTCCAGGTCCTGGAGTCTTTTTGCATTTTCTTTGTATTGGTTATCCAGTTGTTCTTGCAAGTCAGTGAATTTTTTTATGATCCACATTTGAAATTCTTCTGTCATTTTAGTGGTCTGATTTTGATTGGTGCCTATTTCTAAGGGGCTGGTGATCCTATTTGGGGATGTGCTTTCTGTTTGGTTCTTCATATTTCCAGAGTTCCTTCGCTGATTTCTTCCCATCTGGATCAGTTGTTGCTTCTTGCCTTTAGGTTTTCTTTTGGATACTGACATGCCCTGTTTAGTCTCTAAGCCAGTAGGTGGTGTTTGTGGCTGAGATTCGACCACACCCTGTATGATGAGTCAGTAGGTGCTGTGAAAAAGGTGTGCAGAATGTCCTCCCTGTCAGTAGGTGGTGCTTGCTTGGAGGAGCAGTCTACACTGTTGTTTTGGGGTCCTGTAACCAGCTCTTGTTCCTCTAGAGAGGCACACTAATTCCTTAGGTGGTTTGTGGGGCCCTGGGACTTCCAGGTATGTCCTTGTTCTCCACCTCAGTGAGGGGTGGTCTGGTAGTGAGTCTGGGTGGAGCTGGGTTGGGTAAGCCTGCCCTCAGGCACCACAAATGCTGTTAGCAGGGGTCAAAGTTCTGTTCTCTGCTTCTCAGAAAAGCTGGCAGGGAAGGGCTGGAATGGCCCCACCCAGTCAGAAAGTCTGCGTGTGGTGGTGGGGCCGTCTGAGACCCACAGTCTGGAACAGTCCTCACTCCTTTCCACCCTCCCCAACTCCTGGCTTCTCCTAGGCCTCTGCCAGCAGGCCAGACCTCACGCTACCAGGTCTCCCCTAGGTATGATGCAGGCCAGGTAGTTCCCTGTGCAGGATCGCCGCCTGGGCTGGGCACATGGCCCCCCCTTTGGGAGGAGGTTTGCTCTCATGGATGCTGATCTGCCTCTGAAGGCACACACACCTCAGTAGGCTGTTCACAGATATCCCTTCTGTGCCCCAGGCAATGGGAGACCTGAGTGTATGGGATCTGGTCTGCAGATCTGACCTCGGAGCCCCAGAGTTCAATCCCTGACCCCACCAGGGAGGGAAATGCCAGTCCTAATTCACCCACGGGGTGTCCAAGCTGGGTTGATGTCTCTCAACCTCAGGGTCTGCCCTATTCTCCTGGGATCACCAGGCCAGCAGCTCCTGGGAGGGCTGGTGCATAGGGAGCTCCCCATCTGAGTTCCCCTCAGTCAGCTGTAGGGCCCCAAAAGGGAAGGTTCCTTTCCCTGGAGATGCCTCTGGCTGGTGGCTATATTGTCTCTCTTGGCAGCCGAGGCTAGGGAAGGGGGAGGGGAGAATGGAGCAATGTGGCACCTGCTGCACGGCTCGTGTCTTTGCACACGGAGATGCCCCGAGGTAGTTGGGAACCTGGTGCCTCATCCGCTACAGGCTTACTGCTCGCTGGTGGTGGCTGTCTCTGGGCTGGTGTCCACAGGTCTCCCCTACCACTGGGGAGCCCACCAACAGTCCGAGATGCAAGGGAGAGGAAAGTTAACCGCACCACATACCCTTGCTGCTGGTCTCCAGGCTACTTGGGAGGTCTCTGCTCAGGAATATCTTATAGCTGGCATCATACAGTATGTTGCCTTTTCATGTTGGCATGTTTCAGTTCATAATATACATTTGAGATTTTCCATGTCTTTTCATGACTTCATAGTTCATTTCTTTTTTAGCACTGAATAATAGTACATTGTCTGAATGCACCACATTTGAACTGTATACTTTTGTGTCTATAGGTGCCATAACTTCAGAAAAATCATATATTCCATATATCATCTTTCCTATTATTTTGATCATCGTGGGATCCATTTGGTTTTTGAAATTTGGTGGCTGCAGGTATAGACTGATGACTATTTTTTCTTCTTCAGTTTTCTTGGGCTAGAAAAGAGTCAGAAATAAGGAACTGACTGGGCAATTAGGATGTTAACATCAAATCTCCCATAATCCAAATAAGTATCCTGAAGGTGCAAGACTTGAACTACTTTGTGTGATGAGACGGATTTGGCTGGACTGCTCAGGCATGCAAGTGTGGTGAATTAGGCCATTTAGGGCAGGATCTTAGGAGATACATTATTTTATTTGGGAAAATAATATTCCCTTCATGTGCCAAAGAGGAGGTGTCACATATTACATCAAGCTTGTATTAGATAAATTTACTTCCTTTCCCCAAATCCAGACTCTTCTTATTTAGGCATATTAACCACGAGCAGTATTCTTCCCTCATTTTTGATAGTCCCTTTCTGATTTATTTTCGCTTCTATGAAAATGAACCACAATTATCAATAGTACAATTTTTTTTTCTATTTTCAGTCTCAACAATGATACTTTCTCCATTCACTCCAACTTATTTTATTTTTCTAGAAAATGTAAAGTGAATAAAACAGAAGCTACTCCAGTTGTTGAGGAGGTAAGACAAGATAAAAAGGAATATTTACAAACTTTTAAGCCACATACCTTCAAAATCTAGTGACACAATTTGTAATTTGTATCAATATTAATGTTTTGGTTGAAAAACTACAACAAGTCTGATTATACCATGCTAGTAGGTATAACTATTTTGTTTATTATCTACCAAGTACTGTTTATATATCACCCTGAGACTGTAATTTTGGGAAAAACTGAATTGGTGTTTCCTCCCACATGAAAGCATCTCTAATTCCTGACTTCTCCTTTTCAATACCATCATGATTTCCATGTTAACCAAGCCTAAAACATATCCTGCTCCTTAATCTCTTATCACCAGCAGCTTACTAAATCTTCAACTCTTTCATTTGAAATTCTTTCCATATCACTACATTCATCTCCGTTTCTACTTTTACCCAACCATCATATTACTCAGACTTAAGTAATCAACAAATAGTTTTTTGATAAAATATTAGAATAAAGCCTTGCTCTTGGGTTCGTATAAGCTGAGGGACACAAATATAAGCACTCTTGGGCACCTGTTAGAAAAATGAAAGTAGTTTCTTAAATAATTTTTTGAATTGAATTTGAGTTTGAGTTCTTTCTTAGGATGAAATGCAGCCCTATGCTAGCTACACGGAGAAGAATAATCCACTCTATGATACTACAAACAAGGTGAAGACATCTCAGGAATTACAAAATGAAGTTGATTGCACAGGCCTGCTTACTTTATAAGTGACTGGAAACCAGCACGAAGAAAAATGAGTCAAGATACATTATAATTAATGTTTTGATTGTCTTACAGTTCTAGAAACGAAGACTTATTTTGAATTTAGTTTTTGCAAAGGCTCTTAGAAGGCAAAGACATTTCAATGGATTTACATTCATATCCTTGAATAATTGGAATTTTAGGTTCTTAGCTGCTACCAGCAGTTCTCTGAAGAACTGATGTTATCGTGACAAAGAAAACACATGCTTGTGATAAAATATTCATGTTGTACAGTATAGTAAATAACGAAAACTGACTTTCCTGAAGAAATAACTGCAGAAAAAACAATCATCAACAATTTGTTATATATTCTTCAGAAAATTTTTATGTACATATGACTTGTCTGTATGCCTATGGTATATATGTACTTTTATATATCTATTTACATATACACACACATATCTTTGTCAAGAAACCAATGGGAGCATACTGTAACACTGTTGTATACTTATAAATACCTAATTATATCAGTCTTGGAGAGCTCTTTATATCAATACAAACAGAACTACCTCATTCTTTTTAATGGCTACATAAAATTCCATTGTATGGTTACATCGTAATTTAATTAACCAACACCCTAGTGATGGATATTTAGATTGTTTTAAGTTTTGTTTGTTTGAAATTTTGTTTATGGTATAAACAATACCACATAGAATATTTCTTTTGGCTTTATCTGTTTGTATTTTTAAAGTATATTTGTAAGATAACTGTTTTGAGTGAAATTGTCAGGTCAAAGGGTTTGTGCATTTTTAATATTCATAGATATGTCCAATTGTACCAATTTACATAGACTCCAACAGTGTTTGAATGTGTTTTTCCTTAATTCCCTATTTTAATATCGGCAAGATTCCTACTTCCCAGTTCCCACTTTCTCTTTTTAGTCAAACAGTTAGCTAATATGATATGATTATAAGAATGGTATTCTTTAATAAAAATGGAATTCTATTCTTTGTTATATTTGTAAGAGAGAGAATGATGTGTTAGGACATTGGTTTCTTCTGAACCCATGATGTTTCTATAGAGGTGTTGATATTTAATGCCTCACAATTTTGCAGATGTGATAAATTGGCACTGTGTATTTTTATGGCATACATTCTGTTGTGGTATATTTATCAAATAATCAATGTCTATAGACCATATAAGTAGCAAAATATGCACTGGGGAGGACTTGGAGGATGTGTAAAATATGATCTGTGTGCTAAGAGAATGGTATGGGATGACATGATTCTATTCTCCATTTCTTGTGGACTAAATATTGAGAATGTATATATTAATTATTTTTTAATATTATACAAATATTTTTAATTATGGCAAATTATGAAAAAATAAGTCTGTTTGTTTCATAGCAGGAACAAACATTAAAAGTTTTTCATCATGAGAAAAATTAAAACAAAATGCATTCATTCTTCAGTCACGCCATCTGAGATATTTAAGACAGCTAATTTGTCTTATTAATGTATTTTCCTCCCTCCATACATTTAAGTTACTCTAGGGTTTATCTTTATTGTCTTTCTTTCTTTTTTTTTTTTGTTTTTGAGACAAAATCTCACTCTGTTGCCCAGGCTAGAGTGCTATGGCATCAGCCTAGCTCACAGCAACCTCAAATTCCTGGACTCAAGCGATCCTCCTGCCTTAGCCTCCTGAGTAGTTGGGACTACAGGGATGCGACACCATACCCAGCTAGTTTTTCTGTATATTTTTAGTTGGCTAATTAATTTCTTACTATTTTTAGTAGAGACGGGATCTCCCTCTTGCTCAGGCTAGTTTTGAACTCCTGACCTTGAGTGATCCACCTGCCTTGGCCTCCCAGAGTGCTAGGATTACAGGTGTGAGTCACTGTGCCTGGCTTAGGGTTTATCCTTAAAGGAATTTTTAGACTATTTTAGATGTAAAACTAATCTAAGACACTTAGCACATAATAACTTTGATAAACCAGTTTGACTTGGCCCAGGATCTCAATCCATTAAATTTCTTCATATAAATATTACCAGTATACACAATAGACATCATAACTTTGTCATTGAACTTTAGTAATTCTTTATTTATCTCTGGTGGGGTGTGGCTTATAGTTAGGTCCAAAAGTATCTGTCTAAATATCATTGAAAAGCAAAATAAGACAAAACTGTGCTTACATCTGAATTTGGTAATGTCAAAACAGGCCTGTCAAATAACACCATAGTAAAGATTTCAAGATAGTTTATAAAGGTTAAATTATATTGTGCAGAAAATAATTGTATTAAAATTTCAACTATGGGGGTGAAACATGGTTGAATACTGGAGTCATGTGGGAAAAAATTATACATATTCTTCAAATCCACTCTAGACCTGCCTAATCAGAAAATCTAGAGATTGGAGGCTAGGCGCGGTGGCTCATGCCTGTAATCCTAGCACTCCGAGAGGCCGAGGCAGGAGGATTGCTCGAGGTCAGGAATTCAAAATCACCCTGAACAAGAGTGAGACCCTGTCTCTACTATAAATAGAAAGAAATTAATTGGCCAACTAATATATATGTATAGAAAAAAATTAGCCGGGCATGGTGGTACATGCCTGTAGTCCCAGCTACTCGGGAAGCTGAGGCAGAAGGATTGCCTGACTTCAGGGGTCTAGGTTGTTGTGAGCTAGGCTGACGCCATGGCACTCACTCTAGCCTGGGCAACAAAGCGAGACTTTGTCTCAAAAAAAAAAAAAAATAGAGAGATTGGACCAGGTATGTCAGTTACATCATCCAGGGGGTAGAACTAAGATGAAGTTAGGACTGATGGCTTGTATATTAGGCTATATTTTACAGTCTCATTTTATGTGTCTCATTCATTATGTTTTCTCTCTGCCCTCCCTTTTAATTTTTTCCTTTGCTTTGCTTTGTTAGATTAGTGTTCTCTCTCTCTCTTTCAACATCTCTAGTAATTTGAAAATTATGCATCATAACATACATCTATTAGCGGTTATGCTCTATTTATGAACATCTAAAAACAGCTTTCCTGAGATATAAGTGATATATTTAAAGTGTACAATTTGTTGAATTTTGCACATATTTAAAATGTACATTTGGTAAGTTTTGACATAGTTTTACACCTATGACATCGTCAGCATAATCAAGATAATAAACTTGTCCATCACCCCCAAAAGCTTTCTTATGCTTCTTTGTAACCCTGTCTCCGAACTCTTCTTCTCCCATACCCTCCTCTGTAGGCAATCGCTGATCTGTTTTCTGTACCTATATACTAGTTTGCATTTTCTAGATTTTCCATAAACAGGATAATACAATGTGGACTCTTTTTTTTTGGTCTGTCTTTTTTCACTCATTATAATTATTTTGAGAGACATCTGCACATCAACACTTCATTTCTTTTATTGCAAATAGTATTTAATTATATACACAAACCAGTTTGTCCATTCATTCATTTGATGATGGGCATTTGGGTTGTTTCCAGTTTTGGACTATTAGAAATAAAATTGCTATAAACATTCTTATGCAAGTTTTTTTTTTTGACATATGCTTTTATTTTTCCTTGGTAAATACTGATGAGTGAATTGGCTGGATCATATGGTGAGTGGACATTTAGTTCTTAAAGACATTGGGAAACTGCTTTTCTAAAGGGTTATACATTTTACATTCTCTCACCAGTGTGTAAGACTTCTAGTCCTTCCCTATTCTTGCTAACAAGACTTGTCAGTCTTTTTAATTTTAGACATTCTAATAGATGAATATTGCTATCTTATTTTGGCTTTAATGTATATTTCCGTAAACACTAATGATGTTGACCATATTGTTATATATTTACTTACTACCCATATATTTTCTTTGGTAAATGTCCAAATATTTTTAAATTAAAACTTTGGGTAGCTTTTTCTTAATTGACTTGAGAATTCCTTATGTTAATGTATTTCTTTTCAATTCTTTGGTTGGTTCAATTCCCTTAGAGACAACTAATATTTGTTTATCTATGTCTAACCTACTTTTAGATCTTTTCATTGACTTTTAACTTTAAGTAAATATTAAATTTGTTTCTATAAGTTTATTTAGTTTCTTTAAAATCTTTTATGTTTGAATATCACTTTGAACTTCTGTAAATAAGTTAAAAATAATTATTCTGTAAGCATGTTAAACATATATTCTACAAATTGATAATACACAAATTTGTAAGTTTATGAAAACTATAATACATAAATATTTTGATAGATTTGTTTCTTTTGATTTTCATGTCATCTCTCATTATGGATATTTGTCTTTTTTTAAAATTTTGGAGTGATAGCTTATATTTGATTATTTATATCTGTGAGAATCATGCGGAATCTGGGAAGAAGGAAGGTTCCTTTTTTTGTACTTCCCTGGGAGTGCTCCCAAACTGGGAAAACTAACTGAGTTTCTCATCTTAGAATTTCTTAGATATTATAGGTAATATAGACTCAACACTCAAACCTATATAAAGGCAGCGCTGTGGCAACAAATTTATAGTAGAGACCTGTTCTAGTGCTCTTTTTTCCTTTTTTCACCTAGATCTTAGGATATGAGAAATAACTTTATCTCTTTCTATTTGAATACTCAGATTTATTTAAAGTTTACCCTGATTTTATTGAGGGTGGTGGTATACGTGTCTCAGTTTCAAATCCCTACCTTATATGGACTCAAAGCTCTTTTCCTCTCCTCTAGAAGGCTATTAAAATTTAAGTCTCTGGATTCCTAATAACCTACTTGGGTAGTCCTGGGTTACCTCCATTTTTGTAGTTCACATTTTTGCTTCCTTTCAATTTGGGTTCAAGAAATTCTTCTTAATTTCTTATGAGGCTAGTTAAGCTTTAAACAAAAATTTTTAAAAATTTCATCCCACATTTTTGGTGTTTTTAGCTGAATATTTTGTTCACAGTGTCTAATTGGCAATATTTCCAGAAATAGAAGTCCTAAATATAATTAAATTTCTTTGTCTATATGAGTTCTATTTCCTCAGGGATCAGTCGCTCTACTTCTTATTGTAAGTGTTTTTATTTCATGGTGTGGGTTTTCTTTAAGCATCTGGTAAGAGGGAGGAGAGTGTGGTAGTTAAGGGTGCAGACGCTGGAGCCAGACTGTTTGGATTTGATTCTTGTCTCTGTCATTTACTAGCTGTTTGACATGGAAAAGATAAGAATGATATTCAACAGTAGTCACATGAAACATTTGAGCATTAGATGAGTTAAAATGTAAAATAGTAGTGCTTAGTCCATTTTGACAGTGTTCTCATGCTCAGGTGTCTATTTACTTTAAAGATGGAAGACTAATTAATTAGTATTGGTAAATGATGTGGGCTTTACTAGCATGACTATTACTTGAATGCTACACTGACCACAGGCTGTTCGGCATGTGTGGGTGAAGGCAGGCCAACAGTCAGTCTTCCCCAAAGGGGGGAAGGTAGGAACTCTGGATGAATTCCCATCATGGTGCTGTGGTTACGCTGATGCAGAGCAGTTTAGTGGATTTCTTATGTGATGTAGTGTATTAGTTGGTTTGGGCTGACCTAGTAAAAGTAATACAAACTGGATGTATTAAATAATAGACATGCACCATCTCAGATTTCTAGAAGTTAGAAGTTCAAAATCAAGGTGTTGACAAAATTGGTTTCTTCTCAGGGTTGGGAGGGAAGCATCTGTTCCATGCTTCTCTCTTTGGCTTGTGGATGGCCATCCTCATGTTCACATGGCATTGTCCTTGTGTGCATGTCTGTCTCCAAATTTCCCCTTTTTATAAAGATTTCAGTAATATTGCAGTAAAGCCTATCCTAATTATGTCATTTTAACTTGATCACCTCTATAATAGCCTTATATGAGATACTGGGGGTTGGGACTTCAACAGGTGAATTTGAGAAGGACACAATTCAATCCATAACAGATGGTATTGCCTTTTCATCTCTTCTCATCTATTGTAGCACTGGAGACTTTTATCCCAGCTACAAATGTACCGCCACATATCCCTTGTTTTATTTGAAGAGGTGATCTCTATGAATATTGGTTGGAAGCAAATATGGCTAAGAGTCACAACCCATGCATTAGAAAGTGGAGGAGGTAAGTTGATTTTATATGCTGAAACTTTCCTGAATTCATTTATTAGTTAAAACAATGTGTGTGTGTGTGTGTGTGATCTCTAGGGTTTTCTATATATACAAACACATGATCTGCAAACAAGAACAATTTTACTTCTTCCTTTCTGATTTGGATTTCTTTTATTTCTTTTTCCTGTCTAATTACTTGGGTTAAAACTTTCAGTACTAAGCAAACAAAAAAGGAAAAAAAAAAACCAAAAAACTTTTTATCGGGTGGTGGGCAGGCGGGAGGCGGGAGGAGGAAAGGGGTGTATGCTTACATGGCGTGTGTGGTGCACACCACCCGGGGATTGGACACATAGGGGGAGGGAGGGGGGCAGGGGCAATGTTTGTAACCCTAGCAATATTTGTACCTCCATAATATGATGAAATAAAAGGGAAAAAAAAAAACAAACGAAAAACTTCCAGTACTATGTTGAATAGAAGTGGTGAGAGTGGGCATTCTCATCTTGTCCTTGATCTTAGTAAAGAAGCTTTCAG